GCGCCGTGGCCTGGGCGCCGCGCGGCCCGCTCGGGCGGGCACCGCGCGGCCGCCCGCCGCGCCTCTGCGCGGCACCCCGCCGGGGGCGCTCGCGCGGGGGCGCCGCCCTGGGGCGGCGCGGGGTCGAGGCCCGGCATGCCCGCCCGCGGGGAGAGTTGGTGGTCCCCAAACGTGGTGGTGAGAATACCCTGTGGTGAGGTTTCGGCGATTTGGGTAATGGTTTTCGAGCGCTGGCTGGGCCAGGAAACGCAAAACCTCGTGGCGGCCGCGTGGCCCCAAACCCGGTGGCGACCCAGAATTATTTTTGGGGGGAATCGGGGTCACCACCGGGTCTCACCACCTGGTTTGGAGACCACCAAGAGAGGGGGGGGGGGCCGCGCGGGGCCGCCGCGGGCGGAGCGGCTGCGGGCCCGCGGCGACGGAGGCAGACGTCGCGCGAGCGCCAGCGATTGTGCGCGCGCCGGCGCCCGTGCGGCAGGCCATCGACGACCCTGGGGGCGGTCGTTCCCGGAACACCGAGTGGACCCTTCCGATTCGACTGCTCCGCGGATTCTCGATCGCCAGATCGTTCCATAAAGTCAACCCGCATAGTGAGGATGGGCAGCCCAGGGGTACCTTTGCATCCTGCCACTTCGGCCCATCCTTGGACGCTTTCGCTGGCCGCGCCCCGCTTGCAAAAAGTCGGCATGGTTTTCCAAGGCCCTCGAACCCCACCGCGCATCCTTCTGATACGGGTTGGTTGTCTTGGCCGACTCCAGGCCACTGGCGGCGCTCAACGTGGTCGCCGCCGCGTCGACGCGGCACGACCCTGGCGTATCCGTTACCGTGCCTCTGGCACGGGGCCGTGGTAAAATTTGCCGGCCCAACGGGCCAGAAGCGTGCTAAGATCTAGGGCTAGTGGCAAACAATATGTCTAGCTCGCGCGCGCGGGGCGGCTCCTGGGTCCCTGGACGAAGAGCACCCTGGGAGCTCCGACCCAGAGATGGTTTTTCCTCCTTGGGGGCGGCTTTCCGGCGCCCCAGAGCGCTCGCAGGGGGCCCAAAGAGTCCCCAAGACGGTCCAACAAGGCTCCGACTCGCCGACCGATCGGTCCAGGACGCCCAAGATAGCCTCCAGACGGCCGCAGACGCCCCCAAGACGCCCAAAGAGGCCTCGAAGAAGCGTCTCAAGAGGGCCCCAGGAAGCAAACACCATAGATGTCCCTTCGGTTTTCGAAGGATCTTGGCGTTCTCATCTGTTCGGCTTCCCGACGCTCAAAGACGGCCCAAGGCCCCAAAGATCGCCCCAGGACGGCCCAAGAGGCTTCCAAGAGAGCCCCAGGAGTGCCCAAAAGGGCCCCAAGACAACCCAAGAGGCCCCCAAGACGGCCCAAGATATCCCCAGGACGGCCTCAAGAGGGGGCCAGACTGGAAACCCGAACGGACATTTTAAGCCCTCGGCCCCAAGAGGCGCCCAGGAGGCCCCAAGAAGCCCCCAAGAGCCTCCCAAGAGATTCCAAGAGGGCGCCAAGAGCCCCCAAGAAAACCCCACAAAGGCCCCCAAACGCTAGCGGCGGCACAGTCGGTCCGAGACACCCAAGATGGCTTCCAGACGGCCCTCGACGCGCTCAAGACACCCCAATAAGCTACCAAGAGGCCTCCACAAGAGCAACAAGTTTGGCCAGTGGGAGGCCGCCTCCTCCTCCTCCTCCTCCTCCTCCTCCTCCTCCTCCTCCTCCTCCTCCGCCTCCTCCTCGTCCTCCTCCTCCTCCTCCTCCTCCTCCTCCTCCTCCTCCTCCTCCTCCTCCTCTTCCTCCTCCTCGCTCGCCACGATCACTCAAACATTCAGCACCAATAATGCAATATATGGACGGGCGGAATGAGCGAAGCGATTCAATAATCTCGAGGGCCCCAATCCGTGGGGGCTCTCCCGCGGGCATCCAGGGGCTCCCGAGACATGTCGCATGGTTTTTTGGATTACCTACCGGATCAACCCAGCCCAGCCCGACGATCCGAATTCGGGTATGCGAGGAGGTTGTA